ATGTTGTAGAATTGTAAAGCAGCTGTCTTTGAACCCTATACACTCGTACAAATCCTATTTCTTAAATGCTAAGAATTCTCAATCCCTCAGTCCCACCGCATGTATTTTCCCTTCTCCTTCTCTTTCTCCTTGCTGTTCTTCATCATAAAAAAGCCCCAGGCATATATTATACGTCAGTCATTTTCTTCAAGCTTCTTTAATTTACTTGTGAAGGAAAATCCTGTCTGTTCCGTTGAGTGGCCTTTCCCTGTGGCTACAGAAGTGAGCATCTTTCTCTCACTTGGCCTCTTTCACAGTTAAAATGCCCCTGACCATGTATATTATGATACTCAATGGTGGTGGTCAGGAGCAGCTTGAGTAAACTTTTAATTTATACATAGGGCAAATGACCTTAGACTGTTGAGCACATGAAGTCATTTTATATTTTCTCTGAAATGGTTTGGGAGATGAGGCACCTTAGTTCTGTGCCTCCCTAGTAAGATCCCATTAGGTTTGGGGCCAAGAAGACGGTAATATTTCATGACAAAACTTGAAAAAGTTAAAAATTTACCGATGAACTAATGCTTTATTTCATGACCAAACTTGGAACAGTTACAATTTACAGATGAATGAATGCATTTTCTCTTTTTTTTTTCACTTCCTCCCTCCCTGTGTTTATTCCCTGAGACTATTTGCATTAGAATGAATTTCATTAGAATCCATAGTTGCAAAACTCTTCATTAGACAAAATTGGACCTGGAGATCAAATTATCTCACAACTTCTATTGTGTGCGATATATTTTGAATAGGATCTTAAACAGCTTGTTTATAAATTATTGGTCACCAGCTTGCATAGTACCTCTTCTCTAATGCTTGGCCTGAGCCTCCTCCCATGACCCCAGGCAAAAATAATCTCACTTTTCTTTGTGTTGCTGTAGCATTTTATTCACGTCTGTTGTTGCACTCATTTTATTTTAGAAAACTATATTAAATGTGTATCTCTGCCCCGAGGCCTTGGGTTCCCAAGGGCTGCGACTGTGGCTCATTTATCTCTGCATATTCAAGGCCTGGCGTGTAACAGACATACAATAAAAGTTGAAAGAATATATTGAGTCATACTCTGCCCAGTCCAAATGATAGAGTCAACGGACATTTGTTGACTAACTGCCTATGTGCCAGGTAGTTTGAAATACTTGTGTTCCTTATTCCTTGGAGTGACTCTAAGAAGCATTGTTATCCACAAGTTATAGGTAAAAGAGGAGGTGTATAAGTGACTTACCCAGTCACATGGTAAGTGGCGGACCTAGCTTTCAGTTCAAGTCACGTGAAGCCACATTCTGTGTCCTTTCTCCTTTATTGGAGCTTCAAAGGTCTTTCTGGCATGGCCTCAGTTGAAGAGCACCCTTGCCTTGGGCCACAGGTACAAACCCCTCTGTACGGTGTGGGGTGCCAGGCTGTCACCCTCATCTGAGTCCAGCTCTGGGTGTTATCCTCACCAAGGCGTTCAGTGCAAGGAGAGCTCGTGACACGCATCTGAGCCAAAGTTGTCCAGGAAAGTGAGGATTTGGAAGACTGAATTCAGAGGCCAGGCCCTCAGGACCGAGCATGTCATACATGAGAGACATGGCCCAGGCTTTGGGGCCAGATGCTGATGAATCAGGGCAGACGCTCACAGTTGCCCCCCGTCCCTTTGAGATGTCCGAGCATCACCATTTATGTATTGGCTTTTCTGCCTGGGCTGGTCAGCTGATTTAAAAGCCTAGGATCCAAGCAGCAGGTTCGGAAGATTCGAAGCATGGAGGGGGCAGAAGGTGGTGGAACGGGCGACTTGAGGAAGAATAAACGCATTGAATGAGGTGAGGCAGCGAAGGGCTTTCTGGAGAGCCATACTTGAGGCAAAGCCTCTCTTTCCCTGCCTGGAACTGTTGACTTAGCAGAATTGAAGAAACCACACATACTTATACACCATGAGGCCGACCTGGAGCTTGGAGACTCCGAAGGGCCAGGGAAGGCCCCGCTCTGTGTGGAGCACTTACGTAGCCAGCGACCGCAAGAACTTTTTGGGCAACATAACAGACGATTATCGTTCATTATGTATTCAGTTGTGAATCAAAACAAACCGAATGAACCACTGTGCAAGTACGGCCTCTGCTAATCCCAGATATGTGCTGGAGAGGGGGTGGCAGTGGGTCTGTGGACTGCTAGCTACAAAGCAGCCAAAACATAAATTGGGATAATTTCCCCTATTGCCTTCAAGAAAAAAATTTCCACTCCTTAGGGTGTCATGAAAGGACCTTCGTGATCTGACCACTGCCTGCCCTTCCACTCATAGGTTTGATGTTTTATTTCTTGCTCCGTGGCTGTCTGACCATAAGCAAGTTTTATAATCCCTCTAAACTTCATTTTCCTCATCTGTAAAATGGGGATAAAGATACCTGTCTTACGAGACTGCAGTGATTATTAAATACGATAGTGCAAGTGAAGCCACTAACAGTCTTTTGCTCACAGCATATGCCAATTCAACATTTGTGTGATTTTTGTTACTATTGCTGTAATAGTCTACATTGTAGCCAAACGGTTACACCTTCTTCAGCTATTTTGTACTAAGAACATACCCCTTTACTGAAGTGCTTAATAGAGTACCTTGTCATTCTCAGATGAACTGTCAGACATTCTGACGACATTGAAAACCAGGACAAGGACAGTATCTTTTTCATTGCTGTTCCCCCAGGGCCCGGCACATAGTAGGTGTTCAGTTAAATGTTCACTGAAAGAACCTGTGAAGTGTGTCTGTTCTGAAGAATCTTGATTCCCAACGGGCCACAGACGCTTCCTGGGCCCTCCTCTCTTTCCCCGTATTAGGCACCTACTCTGTGTCAGAAACCACCCCAGGTGCTTCCCTGCATGACCTTGGTTAGTAGCCTCACGCCTCTCGAAGGCAGCTGGTATGTAAACTCTTAAGAGATGAGTAGGGGCCTCCATTAACAGAAATGCCTCACGTGTGAACATTAGAGGTCTTTTTTTTTTTACCATCAACCTCTTAGGAACACAATTTGAGGTCCAAGCAATCCTGTCAGTCTGGCACGAGAAATGAGACTCAGACATCTTCTCCCTAAAACCAGCTGTGTCCCCAGCCATCTCCACCTCCTATGCGCGCACCTCTGTTATTTGCACCTGACCAGCGTTACTGAACCAGACCAGACCAGTCTGTACTTTCTACTCAAGAAAAATGTAGATGAAACATTTCCTGGCTTAAAAAAATTAAGAGTGCATAAAGTTAAATAATCAGCTCTCACTTGTGAATTATTTACTGTGTGCAGGGCAGTATGTCTGTCTCTACATTGCCAGCGATCTTCCTGCACATCCTGGAAGGTGGACACTCTTGTCTTTCACGTGGGAGGAAACCAAGATTCGCCAGCGTCTCATGTCTTGCTGCCTGGAGCCGTGCTCCTGACTTGGCTGAACCCTAACCCCTTTCTTCACGGCGCTAGCTGGCTTTGAGGAAGCATCCTCCCAGCCCTAGCCCATGCACTAGCACACCCGTCTCTGTGTCTCCCAGGGGCAAGGCGGCAGGGCTATTTCCTTCCAGTGTGGCCGAGGGCTCAGTCACCACCCTACGAGAGCAGGCCAGGGAAGTGGAAAAATAACTCTTACTCCAAACTCTGACATCTGTCCCTCAGGTGAGAGCCAAAGTCTCAAATTGCTGGGCCAATGGCGAATAAGCCCACACCACACACAGAGGGTATCAACACACAGAGAGTTCTGCCGGAATTCACACATCCTGGAAGCCAGGCTGGCCCTGGTGGCCTGTTTCATTTGATCTTGTCTCTGATTGCTGCCATGGGGAGTGGAGAGAGGGGGGATGGTGGGAGTGGAGACGAGCGCACTGATCTCATGAAGAGCACCCGTAGGCAGTGCCCTCACCCGTGCAGGCACCCATGGCCCCTCTCTATAAACCCACAGCAAAAGGAAAAAGGCCTGGCAAGGCCTGGTTCCGCTGACTGCCTTACATTCTTTTGACTTTCATGGTTCCCAAGTTGCCCAGAGGCAGCCAGCTACAGTAAGGAGAGCATGGCCTCTGGAGCCTGACAGACCCCATGCTACCACTCGGCACCCGTGTGACCACAAACGTAGCTTTGAACTTTTCTGGATCTCGGTTTCTTCGGCTGTAAACTGAAGGAAATGGCAGGATTAGCATGAAGACTATACATAAGGATGTGCACACACCAATCAGCACATAGTCGGTGCTTGGCAAATATTAGCTGCCGCCCTCTTTTTTTTTTCTCCTACATTCGTTTGTCATGCCTTAAAAAAAAAAAAAAAAGCAAACCATTATAATTGTCATTTGTTACATTGTGAGCTGAATTCATTACTGATGAATAACACTGAAACTCTATTTAAACCACTCTCACAGAACGGTAACCCTGTCCTACATCATGTCGCGTAGCGTACCGTTCACTGCTTTTTTCCCCTCCCCACCCCCATTCCTTTTTCCAAGGAAGTCCAGATTGGCCCGGAGACGTTCTCATCCACTAGACGGCCTAAGCCCAGGGTTAAAATCAGGCCTGCTTCCTTCCAGATGATCTATTCATAACAAAAGCCGCCTCCTGGCCGCTGCCCACAGCTGAACACTGTTAGTCTGAAGCCATCGTTTCATTTGTTTCTGCTTGTTCTGTGGTGTTTACATATCTGAAGTATTAGCATGGTCTTTTATAAGAGTACAGGCAGAGGGCAAACCCTGCCGAATCAGCTTTACTTCGGAGAGTCCTTTCTCCTTTTAGTCCCTTTGCCTCTGGGTTACAAGCTGTTTCTGTTTTATAAGAACTCTTTTAAATAGGAAAACAATCTTTAAGTAGTTTCTTTTTTTTTTTTTCTTTAACATGAGACTTAACATTCTCAACTGCTATTTAATATGGAGAAGAGCGAGAAGATATCACTGGGGTGTGTTCTCTCTCTCTCTCTCTCTCTCTCTCTCTCTCTCTCTCTCTCTCTCTCTCTCTCTCTCTCTCTTCCTGATACAGGAAAATCCCATGGCGTCTATTGAACTTGCGAGGGACGTATTCCATTCAGAGCACAGGAGGAGCTGGACTGGCCCCATACCAACATGGAAGGAGGTTCTGTCTGCCTGCTGTGCCCTTGCCTCTCCTATTTACTACCCTCTTTTCCCTCTAAAACAATGTCTTGGGGAGGGTGAGGATTTTTTTAATCAGATTTTTGTTGAAATCCTGGTTTTGCTCTGTTCATTAAGCCTGGGGACTTGAGTTAATGCCTGTAAAGCTCGAGTCCCTTCTCCATCGAAACTGCCTAGCATCTTAGGTGGGGGATGTACGTGACAGTGTCCCATGTGGGGATGACAGAGGGGCTTCAGCGCACATGTCACTTCAGCCCATTGCAGTGGCTGCCTGGCACACCGGATGCCTAGTCCAGAAGTGGCAGGCAGGAGGGAGGGCCGTGATCGGTTGTCTGTTGTGGGTGCTGGAGCGTGTGTCACTTCTGTGCTGTCCCTGTAACATATTAGCTAGCCAGAAAATGTTGGGGTTTCACATCCTTTCTCCCCACCTTTTTTCTCCTGACCTTCTCCCATCCAGGCATCACTATTTTTTAATGCTCTTGTCAGTCTCCTTTGTTATAGAGGCTATTAAACCTCACCCTCGGCACCTTAGCTAACACTTGATAAACACTTTTAAGTGTATAATACTTTTGCAGTCACTCAGTGGAGGAGCTACCCAAGTGTCTATGGATAGTTTTTAATTCTTTGCCCAGCAAGTTTAGCCTTCTCATCTTCTCGTAGGCCAAAAATGGAGAGAGAGAGTTCTGTGCATCAGGATTTTTCAGGCCTAGGCTTGCATGGACATATCCCAGATTTCCCTAAGCTAAACCTGAGAAGCAGGAATGGGTTCCCTGTGGGAGCAGTCTCAAAGGCAATGACTGAGGTATATGCACAGACATTCTGACTTTTATAAAAAGAGGCCCTGATATAAATCAGTTAAGGCTTTCTTTGCCTTCACACAGTATGCTTGTAACACAGTAAAGCCTCAATTGCCTGTCTCCCCCATAACAGATCTTACAAGTAGAAATTCACCCGTCTGAGTTATAGTTATAGTTCTTACCGTCTCTCGCTAGACCCAGTACAACCTCTGACCCCCCCCTCTTTACAATTCTAGTCAAGATGGTATCAGATCTTACTTTTTAAAAGTAAACGCCCACGTGCACTGTCATCCATAAATAAGTTATACACCTTGGCCAGTATGGTGGTGATGATATTAACACAGGCTGCATTTCCCTGGGTCACTGAATGTACCAGGCACTGTACCAAAGCCTATAATAGACTGTGCCACGTTTCATCTTTACAAATCGGCAAAAGAGGCCCTATTGGCCTTATTTTTCAAGGGAGCACCCCCAAGGACCAAGGTCGCACAGCAAATTAAGATAGACCTTTGAGAGTCAAACCAGAAATTCTAAGTCTGGGATCAGATTTATGGGATGATATCTGAGGCCAGACACTGGGATCAAAGTGAAAGGCTGTGACAAGGGACATGTAGAAACTGATCAGCAGCAGAGCAGGAAGGGAATGTGTCTGAGATTGAGTGGGCAAAAATGAGACATCAGACGGAGGCACTGTGTAACGGGGCGCCACGTGCAGTTGCCAGGGAAAGGCTGTGCCATCCTTATCTGCACCTACTGATCAGCCTACTACCCCCAGGGGTGTTTTCAGCTGAACCCCAAAGTCTGTAAGAGGGAGCTTCTTTTCCCGACAGCTAGTGTGAAATCAAAGCAAAGCATTGGTTGGGCCATATCTGAGAACCACTTACTAATTGGTACTATGCTCTCACTCCTGGGGACGTAACCAAAAGAGCAAATATGGTTCTGCCTGAAAGCCTGACTCACTATGTGACATCGGAGCGACAGAGCTAAGAGTCCTTTCTGATGAATACAGCGCAGAGCAGCCGTCCTCCCCACTAGCTCCCTCCCTTACCCCCACCCCTTCTGGCCCGCCTCCCTTACAGGATCCACAGGAGAGACCCGTCATTGTTTACCCACCACAGAATTGTTTGGGCTGTGAAAAAGAGGCAACGTATGATTTTGTATCTTTGGAGTCATGCAGCTCTTGGAGCTTTCAAAGCTAGGAGCCAGTCTGAGCTCATTGGAGCCAGTCAGACATGTATGTAGGGAAGGCCAAGTGTGGCTTCTGGTCGGCGGGGGAAAGAAAAGTCGGGAAAATGTTAGGACGGCCTCAAAGTTTTCCTGGCTATTCAGTCTCTCTTGCAAAGCAACTTTGGGTGCGTTAAGCACAAGTGAGTGAGAAACATATGGATTCCATTTCTATTGTGATCACATATGGGTTCCGAATGATGAAGAATGAGATCTCAGGGTTGACGGAGCCCAGAGTGCTTTGAAAATCATTCAGGACGTGGCAGGCAGTATTTGGCTGCCTCCCTCCATCCCAAATTTGGGGACTATTTGGTTGGGTGACAGACCTGCCCAATGCCCTCCTGCTAAGCCCCAGGAGATCTGTGTGGACAGGTCTCATGTGTTCTTGTTTTGCTCAAACTGAACTAAAGGGATTGGGTTTCTAGGAAGGGCAAAACCTTTACTGTAGGATTCTTAACCTTTCAGAAATCTCCAAATAGAGGAGAGGAGACTTTGGCAAAGCCTGAGCTTTATTAATCATGTGTCACTTACAGGCAACTGGACATGTGTTATACTCTATTATTCCTCTTCATAGCAGTGATGTTGTCCTATTAATGATATTTTAGCCAGGTCCTGGATTTGCGTGACGATTTAGTATATAAAGGATATTATGTACACATTACATATCAAGTACATGTTATGTGTGTATTTATAGATCCAGGCATGTACACTTGCACACAGAGCATGTGTTATGACAGCCTACAGTACAGAAGTGCAGAGAGTTAAGGGAAGGTACAGGGAGGAGCACCCAACCCAGCTTCGGAGGAGAAGTCAGGGTTTCGAGAAAACTCCCAGAGCAGGTAATTTTGAGCTGAGTGTGATAAAGGGACATTTAAGAGAAGATTTAGTCAGGGGAAGGTGAGAGGGAATGCCTTTTAGACAAAGAGAGGAGAATTTATGAAGATTCGGAGATGAGAAAGAAAACGGCACACTTGGGGAATTTCTAGGCTGTGATGGACTTATTGCAGTAAAACATGATGGCGGCAAAGGATGGAGACACGATAACGTGTAATTAGGCCAGACAAGCAGATAAAAGCCGGATCACAATAGTCTCATATGCCATGGGGAACAGCTAAAGGATTTCAATTGGGAAAACGATATCATTAGCTTTGTGTAGAAAGGTGATTGTGCTGGAGATATGGAAGTTGGAGTCCCTGAGTGGGGCTCGTGGGGGTGCGAAGTGAAGCACAATGTTTGGGGCAGGGACACCAGTCACCAGTTTAATGGCCGTTATAATAATCCAAGCAAGAAGCGATAAAGGACTGGACTAATGGAGAGAAACAGAACAGGTTATGTCTGAAAGAGTTGACAGACACGGTGACCAATTTGGAGACAGGGGAGGGAGATGAAGAAGTCAAGAAGTCAATAATGGTATCCTTTTGGTTGGGTAGACAGAGTACCATTCATTGAGACAGTGACCCCAGGAGGGAAGGATGGCAAGTTCTATTTTGGACACATTGATAGACATCCAGGTCAGATGTCCAACAAGGAACTCAAGAGCAAGGCCTGAGTTTGGGATGAAATTTTGGGACTCAACAGCATAAAAATTGTCATTACACGCATGGGAGTGGACGGGCTGCCCCCAACAGATGTAGTGAGTGAGATGAATGCAAAAGAGAGAATCCAAGAAGGAAAAGCAAGAAGAATCTATCAAAGATAAAACTAATATGGGGCAGAGGCTGGACCTGAACCCAGGACATTGAGCTCCAGATCTTTCCACTGTTCCAAAAACGAGTAGGATTAAATTACCTGTTGTTTCATGTTTCTTGAGAGCATTTATGTCCTAGAATCTTTATAGATATTATACCACTTAGGACTTGCGTAAAACTCGATGGTAGATGAGATTATCCCCATTTATAGATGAGTCTCAGAGAGACTCAAAGGCACATAGCTGATAAACCACCTAACCAGAATTGAAACCCAGGTTTGTCTGTGCTCATATGACTAAACCATGTTCACCTCTTTTAAGGTAAAAAGATGTGGTTCCTCACTGTTTCGTAGGAGAGGCAAACAACTCATTACAATTTACTCTGAGAAGTGCAAAAATAGAGGTGAATGCTTGCAGCCCCCATTCATAAACAGAATTCTCTAGGCTCTTTTTTGTACTGTGTAGTGAGTTGGGAGTTGGCTGGAATGTGTACAAATGTTTCTCTCTCTCTCTCTCTCTCTCTCTCTCTCTCTCTCTCTCTCTCTCTCTTTCTTTTTTTTTTTCTAGTAAGATGATAGCACAGTCCATTTGGAAGGAGAGATGAGCCACCACGGAAATACTCAGTCCCACACATGCTTGCGGCTACCCTCTAAAATTCCCAACCTGGCTGGAGGCACTCAAAACAAAACCTCCTGTTCCCTCCCAGGACCACTGGCGCCTGGAGCCTGCCTCCTGCCCCTGCCAGAGGCTTAGGCCAACCCCAGCACGATGGGGTGGAGGAGCTCCCTGCTCTGAGCCCAGCCATCTCTCCCCCAAAGAGGTGTGAGCAGGCGCCTGGGCTTTCTCAATGCAGGGAAACTCAGCTGACTGTAACATAGCCTTAGGTGAAAGTCAGCCAGCGGCATCCTTCGTGGAGCCAGCTCGGGCACCGACATGAGAAGAGGTAGGAGCACATGGAGAGACGCTTCTGATCCCTGCTCTACCACTTCTGATCCTGGGCAGCTCGCTGACCCTCCTCACGCCTGTCTCTGCAGCTGGATATGGGCTGCCTAAGCTTGACCCCACACACTCTCAGGGTAACTGTAAGCCTGAATGCAGGTGTACACACTCACAAGTCTCTTGCTACCTGAGTTATCCCCCAGCACGTTCTGCGCTCCTGCTCCTCCTAGATCGTAAGCTTCAGGAGCACAGGGATGATGTCTCTTATCTGGCTCTGATGGTCACCTTTCTATATGGCTTCATGTTTAAAACAGTTTGAACTCAGTGTGTGGTATC